TCACACTTCCATTCTCTGTCCTTCTGCTCGTCACAAGAGACCATCCAGACAGAAACCCAATATTTTTTGCTGTTGCCTTTTTGTTACATATATATAGGGGCTATTTTCCAGCATTTATAATTCTCTACATCCACAGGATGAATGCTTGCTTATTTCAGAAATAAAAATATCCATCACAAGTTTGAATAAAAAAAAATAAAAAAAAATAAAAACCGGTAAATTAAAAAGCACCAGATAATTAGCACAACAAAACGCTCCATGTCATGTAGCAACTATATTGGGGCAAAATGCTTGGGGCAAAATGCTGATACTGATTTACAAGGTAACATCATCTCCTTTTTTAAAGAATTATGTTTATATATTGTCCATCAGAGTCAAAGTAGTCTTTAGATCCGCATTGCCTTTCTTCAGGATGAGATCATAATACATAATCAACCAGAGCTAATTTGATAATCCTTTTGGGCTACAAAATGTATGTTTTCTGAAAGGGTTTAAATGTTTACAAATACTACAAATCAGTTGGAGTATAAAGAGCAGAAAAATTATCTACTTTTCCAAATAGCTTTTGTATTTTTCACCTTTTAATATTCATAAACAATCAATGCATATATTATATGCATTATATAATGCATATAATAAAATTATTTGCAAACTGTAGGAAAGTCTTTTATTGATAATTGCTCTGGGGTAATTTGATCTTAATATTCATGTGCTACTTTCCGCTTCCAGAATGTTGTGAGTGGAATTAAAAAGCCATTTTTCATTTTAAGGGGTATCAGGTTACACCACAGTACTTGATCTTCTCCCACAAGAACCAAACCAAGTATGTTAAGCCCTTCCTCAAATGATCCATTGAGGATCATGATCTCAGTAAGCCTTGCTGTCCCTTATTTATTTCAGTATTTTCAGTTTAAATTTCCCACATGCGCTAAGCTTGTTTAAAATCTATGTTGTGCATTTTCCTTTGTTAATGTATTTTATTTTATGCTTTGTTTTTATATCTATCATCTATCTATCTATCTATCTATCTATCTATCTATCTATCTATCTATCTATCTATCTAT